GCCTCCAGTGACTAGTAGCCCACTCACAATGTGGCCATGGTTGAGGAAGTTGAGTTTGCTGAGACGGACGAAGCTCTTCAATGTGTTCTCTCACCCTTCTTCTACTCCTCCGTGGGGGCTCTTGTGGGGGCACAATCCTCTCATCAGCACGGAATGAAGGTCGGGCCGGAGCAGGCACTGGAGGGTATAATATGACATCCCTCCTTTGCTCTCTGGTACAACAGAGCAAGTTGTTGAAAAGCCTGCGCAAAAAAGATGTCTTCCGCTCATCCATGGTGGGTGCACTCTCGACGGTGTGCTTCGCATGCTCCAAACCGTCAACCTAATAAATTGTTGTACAAAATTAACTAATAGTAAATCTAATAATGATTTCTTTCATCTAATATAGGCATGTAATCATACTACAAAAATTAACTAACATTAAATCTATCATCTAATATAGGCATGTAATCATACTACAAAAATTAACTAACATTAAATCTAATAATGTTAATTAACATTCTAGCTAATATAGGCATGTAATCATACTCCAAAAATTAACTAACATTAAATCTAATATAGATAATTAACATTCTAGCTAATATAGGCATGTAATCATACTCCAAAAATTAACATTCATTAAATCTAATAATGTTAATTAACATTCTAGCTAATATAGGCATGTAATTATACTACAAAAATTAACTAAAATAGGCCAAAATGGAATTCACTTACCACTGCGCCCCAAACAGCACCTTGCTTTGACACCCATCTTAGCGTGAAGTTCCGATACCACCGCATGTAGCCATCGTGGTACCCCATTGGCCTTGTCTCCGGCGCCCCTTGGACCACCCACTGATTTTATTCTCCCATATGTTGATGTAGAATTCATGCTTGCGGGTCCAATCCTTTTTGTTGTAGCGTAGGTCAATGGCGTGGAGCTCCCTGAACCCTTGAGGTGGGGATGCTGGAATTGGTTGCTCCAATCGATATTGCCTCAAAGATCGATCGGGCAGGTGCCACTCCACCATGTGCCAGCAGATTAAGGGCACCTTGCACAACCATGTCTCTTGATCCTCGGGATGTCTAAGACGATGCAACTCAACCACTTCATTTGGATATGGATCCCATACCGCCTACAATCATTAAAATTCATGGAATTAGTAAAAATTATATCCACTCCACCTAATAAATTGAAAATCATGACATTCAATATTTTTACCTGGTTCCACCAAGGCTTATCAAATTCAGCACGATAAAACAGTAAAGAGTGCTCGGGCTGGTGGTCGTTTGTATTTGCTCCGATCCACCTAATTAAGCAAAAGTACATATATAAGCAATTTTTAAATTAGCTAAATGCGATTTGGTTAGAATAAATCCAAATTCACTTACTTGGAAGATATCTAAATTCACTAAAATACTAGAATTGCAGACCTAAAATGTCTCTAAATCCGCTTAGTTGGAAGATAGCTAAGTTCACTAAAATACTATAATTGCATACTTAAAATTGCATACTAAGTTCATTAAGTTCACTAAAATCTAAATTCACCTAACTAGCTACCATTGCATATCTAAAATAAATTCAACTTAAATTGAACTTACTTGAAACCATATGGGGGATTTGCTACAAATCGTAGCTCATCATCTGGCAACCAGAATTCCCGAGGGTCTCGAGGTGCGAGAAACGGAAGATGCTCCCATGCCCAGAGCTGGAGTATGAACATCGCACCACCAGCTTGTTTCGCGCCCAACTTCGAGCAAGTACACAACTCGCGGTAGATCCCAGCCAAGACGGCCGACCCCCAGCTTTTTTGCCCGATCTCGTCCCAGTCACCGAGGAGCATATTTAACCACATGCCTTGTATCCACCGGTTTGACTTGTCGGGGAACAGAAACCCACCAACCAAGGCAATTAGGTAGACACGTGCATACCGCTCCACCTGATCTTCAGGAGTATCCGGGCCTATATTAACCTCCATCTGGATGTGGTCAACAAGCCACGGGATCGATACTTGCCCCGCATTCAGTGGTGGATGCCCCTGACCTTCGACGGGCGTGGTGGTCGGCATGTTGAACCCCAAACGTTCCTGAATCAATGGCCCCCAACCATCTTCTGGTTTTCTCGAGTTGTCGATGATGGCATCTCCGGTGATCGGGAGCCCGGTGAGGATGGCAACATCTTTGAGGGTGATCGTCATTTCACCCTCGGGAAAGTGGAAGGTATGCAGCTCAGGGCGCCATCGCTCTGCCATTGCCGTCAGCATATCGTTGTCAATATCAAGCCTCATAAAGTGCCTCAAATTGTGCAATCCCGCCCTCTCTAGATAGGGATGCAGTCGAGGATGCCAACGGGGCAATCGACATGTACCTCGATGACTGATGGGAATAAGTGATTCCTACAAAACAAAAACACAATATTGTCAGTCAATAGAAAGCAAAATAAAAACTTTAAAACTATTGAAATAATTTTAGTGTGTCTACCGGATTATTGTTCCAAATTGAACGAGAGCGATGTTGATCTTGCCCGATTAAATACATTCGATCCCTTGGGCCAGGATCGATATACAATCTAGGGTCGTATATCTCAGCACCCATCTATAAAAAAATATGAAATCAAATCAATTTAAATTTTAGCACCCATATAAAAAAAATCACAAAAGAATTAAATAAATTTACGTACTCTCAAAGCCTCTTCGTCCATTTTTTGCCGAAAAGCTAGCGAGAGTATCGACAAAACAACAAAACAAAAACTCTAGTAATTCTTTCTGATGCGGAAGATCGGACTTAGCCGCAACCACAGAGCATACTTAGAACGAAACTAGAGTGAAAAATGGAGGGAGAAAGAAGTATAAAGTGGTGGTGTGGTTTGGAATAAGGGGGGGGGGATGGGTATTTATAGTGTTTGGGGCTGGGAAAAGACCTGGCCAGTTATCACCGCCCCAAACAAACACAGTGCCATCACCGCGTCCAACAAAGGCGGTGATGGTCACGGATCGCTGACGTGGCGGCTCCTGATGCGTCGGATTGTGGAGAAAAACCACAATCCGCGCATAACTGCATCGGACGGCAGCGGTGAAGGCGCGGGGTGGGGCGCGGATCGCTGACGTGGAAAGCGGGGCTATCACCGCTTTGATCTTCAGCGGTGAAGTGCCCGCGCGCGTCCATGTCAGCGATCCGCGCCACTTCACCGCTGTTGGATCCAACGGTGAAGGCTTCACTGCCTCCCTCATCAACGGTCATGCCATCACTGTCGTCCTTGACAGCGGTGATGGCATCACTGCTTTGGTCTAAAGTGGTGATAACATCACTGCTTTTGTCTAAAGCGGTGATGTATCATCGTTTTAGACCAAAACGGTGATCAACATCACTGTCTTAGACAAAAACAGTGATGTTGAAACTGCTGTACTTTGGGAATTACTTTTATAAGTACTGTATTTTGGTATTTTTTTTAATAATTGGTGTATTCTGGGATTTTTCCCACAATTAATAGTCAGGGATCCAAAACGAAGGGGTCTGCGTGGGTTATGGAAGGGAAGCTAACCAAAGTACCAAACAGACTCAGTTGTATCCCAAATTACACCTATGGCCTAGTAAGCATTCCCAATTAGTTGTTGATAATAATAATAATAATAATAATAATAATAATAATAATAATAATAATAATAATAATAATAATAATAATAATAAATAATTACCATTTGATGAGACGAGACCATATTCTCTTTACTCTCTATTCCAGCCGCCGCCAACGAGGAGATGCGGGAGCAGGCGCTGCTGACGAGCCGAGGAGATGTGGGAGCAGGCCGCAGGGGAGACTTAAAGGAGACTAGGGTTTTTTTTTTAATTAATTGATCTTGGACATAAATAACAAAATAATTCAAATTGAAATTAAGACTAAATGAGGGGCAATTGGGTCATTCCCAGCCCATTTAATGGTCACTTAACGGATAACTAGATGGATGGGTAAACTTTTTACGATTTAACATTAGAAGGGTATGTTTGTGCAAAAATTTAGTAGAGGAGTACATTTGTTAATTACCAAAGCAGAGGGTACAAAATGCTATTAACCCATAATAAAACTAGGTGTTTTGAATTACTTGTCATCAAAATAAAGAGTCGATTATAGTATGTTTTAAGTTAACAGTAAGGACTAAGGATCGCATGTGATCTCCACATTCGCATAAGAATCTCTCACCTTCCGCTTTTGAATTCTAGGGATCTCACTTTTTACTTCCGCTGTTAAAATAGGGATGGCAAAAATATCCGTAACTGTGGATATTCGCCCGAACTCGGCCTAAACGGGTAGGGCAAAACCCGAACCGAAGGACATTTAGTGGGTACGGGTAAAACCCGAACCCGAATATTGCGGGTAATGGGTGGGCATGGGGTTTTCACTATCCAACCCAAACCCGCCCGATTATACACATACATATGTATTTTGTCAATAAATAATCATTATATTTCTCTAACATATTTTATATTTAGCATATAAATATAATATTTTCATGAAATTGTGATGTTTTAATTAATTTTCTTCATTCTAGTGAATTATTGTCATACTTTTCCTCTTAATTAATGTGAGAATACGTGTGAATGTTAACATATTGGTTGGAGTTATGAAGAGAAATCATTACCCATTGATAACCGTGGATACCCGGAACCCGAACGGGTATGGGCATGATTTTAATTTTCTACTCGTTTCACATGTGGGTATGGGTATGAGTAAAACCTGAACTACTTTGGGTAGGGTAACGGATATGCACTATCCGTCCCCGATCCGACCCATTGCTATCCCTATGTTAAAAGGGAGAAAGTGATAAAAAGAATCGGTAAAAAAATATGATTAAATAAATAATAAAAAAAACAAAACAAAACAGGAAGAGACAAAAAGGGCCACTAGGGCACGCGAAAGCCACACTCCCAAAACCCGCCGTTTCGAGATATCTGCTGGACACGAGCATGCCACACGCTCCACCACCAACACTCAATCCCTACCGTCCACCTGTCCAATTATTCAACGGCCCAATCCATACCTCTATATAACTTCGCTTTCTCCCCGTCTTCTCTGCCACACAACCAATCCTCTCCGCCTCTCCAACCTTTACCTCTCACCATTTTCTCACAGAAAATCACAGTCCGTCTTCCTTCTAGCACATCCGTTTTCACGCGAAGCTATGGCGCTCAAGATTTCTCCGGCCTTTTCCTCCATCCTGGCCTCTCGTGGCGGGGACAACAGTCTGTTTCCCTCTGTTTCTGCCGCCTCGCCGTCTGTTCTCCGCCTGAAGCCTACTGGTTCCGCGCCGTCGTCGGTGGTCTGCAGAGCGGCGAACGACAAACCTCTGACAGGGGTCGTATTTCAGCCCTTCGAAGAGGTGAAAAAAGAGCTCGATCTAGTGCCGACATCTCCGAACGCCTCTCTGGCGAGGCACAAGTTTGTTGATGCGTGCGAGGCTGCAATCAACGAACAGATCAAGTATAACTCATTTTCTTTCAATTTTCCCCCTTTCTGTACCCAGTCTTTTCGTTTTGTCGATTCATTTTATTGTATGTTCTTGTTTGGTAGCCTTTGAGGTGTTTGTGAAAAGTACCTGCTTTGTTTTTTCACGCTGGCGATTTTAGCCCTGCAGAGTGTGTTCTTGTTGTGATTGGTTAATTGAATGGATGATTGTGGCGATTATGAGATTTTCATTAGCTGGGGGCTAGGGCTGCCTTCATGGCCCTTAACTCTGTCGTCTTGCTTTATAGCTTTCATTTCTAGTCTTCTAGATGACTATCTAACATGTAGATCTAACGATTTATGAAGGTAAAAATCGATCATATTTAGGCAGTCTATTTTGTGGGTTGTGGAGATCAGACTCTGTTATTTGGTGGGCTATGGAGATAGTACTCTGTTATTTATGACTAATGATTTATTTGCTCCATGTCACTTTCGTATTGACAGTGTGGAATACAACGTCTCCTATGTCTACCATGCCATGTATGCCTATTTTGACAGAGACAATGTCGCTCTCAAGGGCTTGGCCAAGTACAAATCTTTCCCCCTTTTACCAAATCTACTCTGTCTCTATTAAGTTATCTTTTCATTCCGTTGCTAGATGAATCCTTGGCTAACCTTGATTTGGACAGGTTCTTCAAGGAATCAAGTGAAGAGGAAAGGGAACATGCTGAGAAATTGATGGAGTACCAGGTACTCTTGAGTTTCCTGTATTCCATTATCCTGATGGGCCAGCTTGTTTTGCATACATAGCGTATGTGGATGTACGTTTCATTTTGTTCTTGCTTGGTTTTGTGTAGAACAAACGTGGTGGGAAAGTGAAGCTGCAATCCATTTTGATGCCCCTCTCCGAGTTCGACCATGCTGAGAAAGGCGATGCTCTTTATGGTACTTTCCTCGTTGTTTATTTCAACCTTGGGTTCAAGTGTGAAGAAGCTGTTCAATTTATGCTTTGATTCCTTAGAACCGTGGAGAAAAGTTGAAAACTTTTGAACATATAACTAGTGGTTTAGGTGTGAAATAAATGAACTTAGCATCACTGTATCTGTAACCAGTTACCGTGAGCTGGCTGGAATGTATGAACTCATTGTGTTTTTAATCTTCTTTTCTGTAAATCAGCAATGGAACTTGCCCTGTCTCTGGAGAAACTAACAAACGAGAAGCTCCTGAATTTGCACAGCGTAAGAGAACTCGCAATCCTTTTTATTCCACTGTCCTATATGTCTTGTTTGCTGTTACCATATCCTTATTAGAACGGATACGTTAAGCCTAAATGATGTAGGGTTGAGATCTTTGGATTCAACATTTTCTTATTGCAACAGGTTGCTGAAAGTTCAAATGATGTGCAACTGACTGATTTTGTTGAAGGCGAGTTCTTGGCTGAGCAGGTATGACACTCTTTTAACACACTGGCAAACTATTTTTATTTGGCTTCCGGCATTGATTCTTGAACTTATGTACTCTTTGTTCTTTGTAGGTTGAGTCGATCAAGCAGATCTCGGAGTATGTTGCCCAACTGAGGAGGATTGGGAAGGGACATGGTATGCTTCCTAACAAACATCTTCGTCATTGCTTTCTACAATTCCCCATAGACATATTGGTACATTGAACTCACTTTCTGGCGGGTTTTTGTTGATGAACAGGTGTATGGCACTTCAACCAGATGCTTCTCAAAGAGGGAGCTGCTGCATGATGAGCAACGCTGGCTATCTCTTCTTGACAAGGGCTGTTTGAGATCAATCGTGATTAGGGATTTCGTCCTCCCACCTTTTATTTTGGTTTTGTGAGGTTTTTTGGAAGTTGTAGAGATCAGAACAAGCTATGGTTGTTGAACTTGGAAGATAGGAAGTTTGTTTGCAGGTGGTGGATGAATGGTATGAAATGGTGGACGATTGATCGTTTTGAGTATGCATTTGCCACTGCTTTGCCGAAGAAAAGATTAGTTTTGACAGAAGAATTGGAAAGAGAACAAAATGGAAGGGTAGCAAAGTCAACTTACTTCTCCCCCAACCATTTATTCTGTCAAGTGGATTAATACAAATGAGTCAGGTCCAAGGAAGGTTAAAGAAAAGATATCATAGATGTGAAAGCTCACAAGTCACAACCCAAAGCACACAAAGCCACAACTCACAAGCATACACAATATCCAGATTTTACAGCAACTAAAACCCAAGCCAACCCAAGAGGCAATTGATCTTCAGACACTAAATCACCAAGGAGCATCCGCCACAACAACAAAAGAAGACACCACACCATCTTTAATTAGTTATCTGGAACCAAAGCAGAGCTTCCAAGGAGAAGAGGAAACCTACAATGAACAAATCGACATAGCGATCGACTTCAAACCAAGAGAGAAATCATTGATTCCAAACGACCAACTCGGGGCGCAAATATGGGAAAATCATATCAGAAGCAAAACAACACCATCAGCTAAAGAAAGGCATGTAGAAGGATTCCACTCAAGGATAGGAAAGAGCCCAAAGGGCCAGAAAAAAAAAATAAAAAATGTGAGAAAAGTAGAGAAAATCGCTAAGCAAAAGTAAAGAAAACAGAGAGCAGAGAGGAAATGAGCTATCACGGGTCACCTAAAGGTGTTAGCGGCGCGCTAAGGAAGAGTGACAAAATAACTAGTTTGGATGGAGTATTTCTGTATTTGTATAGAGTATGTGTGAGTTATTTCGGTTAAAAACTCATATACAAATAATTCTTTTGTGAGGAACAGTGAGTTATCTACCAATAACTCAAAACAAATTATTTGAAATAACTCATATCCTCGTGTTATTTTGAAATAACTCGTTTTACCACTCTACTTTTGTCGAATACCAAATGTCAAATACCACATTTGCATGGTTCTACCAAACAAGATACTTTATTTCAATAACCACTGAAATACCACATGAACAATAAATGAGTTATTTGACTATACAAATACCTCATTGACAATTAAATCATCCAAACGATTTTTAAGAGTTAATATATTTGTATGGCCCGAACTTTTCACATATTAAACATTCTGGCCAATCTTTTCGATCTATAACTTTGTGGCCTCAACTATGCATCAAAGTTACGAAATTGGCCAAACTCGAGATTTGACCGTTATCTTGACGGTCAAACGCGTTGACTAACGGTCAACCCGCCACGCACCGCCCAATAAGCATAAATAAACTTAAAAAATTCCTCAATTCCACATATTCTTCATTTTAATTAGCACGCCTTACAAAATTGTTTCGCACATTATATAGGATAAGTTGGTCGTAATTCAAATCATTAGAAATACCGTTTTCTGTACACAAAGGATTGTGTATGATGCATTTGGGAACGCCAACAACTCCAACACTTATCAATGATACGTAATTTGAGATTTAGCAGTTTACTTTGACAACTTTCATATAAAATATTGGGTAAGTGGAAAGAAATAGATAGCAAATAGAGGATAGTGATATTTTTTAATGGGTACTAAATTTTATTTCCCCGTATGCTCTAGCACCATACTACAAGGACATGATCTTTTCCCCAAACAATCGCATCATATGCCACTACACGTCAACATCATCCTACAACTAAGATATGCAATTTCATTGTTGACCATTTAATACAAACAATTTTTTTATTGAATAATAAATAAGTTTTGTGGATATCATCTAAAGAAATTGGTAATAGTGATGTAGAAAAAATTAGTAATCTTTGGAAACAATCTACTATTGATGAGAAGGACAAGATCATGGCAAAGGAAAGTCTACAAATAAATAGCAGTGTAGTAAAATGAAGTATGTTCATGCATCTATGACACATTGTTCACCCTTCGTCGGCTTTCGTTCTTTGGCATGTGACACACGACTCCTCCATACACGTTAGGAACTGGCTGAGTCTCGATGTTTTACGACGGATGGTATCGTAGATTTTTTTCATGACTCTTCTCGTCTCATACGGTGATGGTATTTCTATCAGCAAACAGTGAGAAATGTAGAGAACTTGTAGACGCTGAAGACCAGTATTATGATTAGGGCGTCCTTAAGTAGCATTGAGCAGTGGAGAGTTAAACCCTTCATTTTAATTAGTTCATTGAATCATCTCTTGCCGGCTGTGCTTGAAACTTGCTGCCCGGAAGGTGATGAGTATTTGCCCGGATCGGGTCGGGGACCAAATCAACAACACTCTGTGTGCCTTTAGATACGAGGCCTATCATTTCTTTTGATGCATCTGCAACGGCAATGTGACCGATACTAAAGGTGGCAATTGGCATCCGGCCAATTCTATTTTGTTTGAATCGAAATCCAACTGATTAGCAGTCCTTACTTATAGCTAGCTCATTTATGAAATTTCATATATTTTGCTGTATGGTGCCTTTGATTTCTCGGCACATGCGTATATTGGATGTATCGTATATATGTCCTTGTGTGTGATCGTATGGCTGAGCTTTTGCTCGATTTGATGTATCGTATATATGTCCTTGTCTAGTAACTATTGTGATACTCAACCTCAATACATTTTTATATATTCGATATTTATTTCATATATCACTACATGGTTGAAATTTTCTTATTGATGCATTTACACTAGTGGTAGCAATCAACTGGATAAGATTTATGGATCCTGGATTGAATCTAATGGATACATGGTGATCAATAGAGGTGGCAAATGGATTGGATCAATGGATCCATGGGTTGGATTGGTGGATTGATTCATGAATCCAAATGACATCCAAAACATTGGATCAATATGTAAATTTTGAAAAGTTTAGGTACTAAAATGTTATAATAAAAAATTTAGGTACCAAATCATAATTTTACAATGACATTTTTCATATGAAAAATAAATTTTAGGTACCAAAATGTAAAATACAAAAAAGTATAGGTACTAACGCAATTTGTTATTTGGATCTATGGATCAATCCATGAATCCACCAATCCAATTGAATTTGGATCAAATGGATTGGATTTTAATGGATTGTATTGGTGGATTGGATGTCTACTGGTGAGAAATTGAAAGAGTTTTAGGTACTGTAAATTGTCTTCTTTGTGAGTATCTGTTTCTGGATGGAGTTGTTGTCTGTGATTTGTTATAGAATTCACATTAAGTTTGTGATGCTAGTAATGCAATATGTATGAAAATTGTCTTTTTATACCGATTATTTATAAAATATTATTCAACTTCGGCCATCGCTATTAGAGGTGTCAATCGAGCGGGTTCGGACGGGGTTCAATCGGGTTGCGGGTCGGTCGGGTTGCGGGTCGGTCGGGTTGCGGTTGGTCGGGTTGCGGGTTGGTCGGGTTCGGGTTCATCGGGTTGCGGGTCAATCGGGTTGCGGGTCAATCGGGTTGCGGGTCGGGCGATTCGGGTTGCGGGTTTTACGGTACTGGTATTTCGTGGTTGAACCGCCGATACGGTACGATTTAATGTGATGTGACCAAAGTACGCAGCTTTCCTACTTTTTATGGGTTTTCGAAGCTTTTCTCCAACGAACAAGAACTCGAACAAAAGATAATGATGGAACACGATCAAACAGATTCCAACTCGTGTGAAAGGCCAATTGGTATATGAAACCAATCAAACAATCACCCACTCGTGAATAAGGCCAATCGCTATTGGGTAGAAGCTCGCCACAACTAGACGCGTTCTCTAGTTGATAAGAGACACGTGAAACTCCTGGAGCACTCTCAACAGAAGCTTGCACAAAGAACTAGTTCGTATGAACTTGTAACTTGAAAGTTGATTGATAATTGAATGAGTTACAATGAGGAACTCAGCCTCTTATTTATAGACTAGCTAACACAAATCCAAAGCTTAAAATGAAAAACAAATCCTACAAGTAAAAGGAAAAAACACAATCCTTAAAAGACAAGTAAAAGGAAAACACAATCCTTAAAAGACAAGTAAAAGACTTGGTCAACAACTCCCTAGATTCTAGCCTTGCAATCCTCCCTCACATGGCTTGTGTTCACACATGATATTCCTTTCACACTTGTACTCCTTTTCACACCTTGTGTTCACACCATGGGAGATCTTCCTTCCTTCTACCAAGCCCATCTTCTCTTCATTCTAGTCCATAAATCGTAGCAATGTGATGGACTTTCCTTCTAGCAAGTCCACGTCCATCAAGAATGATCCCATTTGATCCTTGTATCGTCGTACTCGGACCTTCATCTTTGGACCACGAGAATTATATATTCTGCCAATGGATTTCACATCAACAAACTCGTAGGCCTTGCTTGAAATGACCTTTTCTTCCACCTTGAATGCTTCCAAGCTCTCTTTAAACCTCTTAAATCGTCTCTTGAACCATGGTCCATGTTGATATCTAGTTTGAGCTTGAATGACGTCATGCGGGGTGAGCGGGGTTGCATCATTCCCTCCCTCTTGAAAAAGATTTGACCTCAAATCTTGTTGTTTCATGTAGGCTCTCTTGTACGACTTCATTAACCACGAGCTAGAGTATGCTCTTTGAATGCTAAGCTTATCCACGAACTCTTGCAGTCTTCGTCTCTCTCTAATATGTACTTCATTGTATGGCACTTCATCTCCAATAACGAACTCCATATGCTCAACACTCACACTATAATCTCCCATCTGAATAGACTTGTATTGAGAAGAGCTTGGACCATGCTTAGAATCAGAATTTGGCGTTGTGGTTGTACTTGGTGTATTGAAGATGCTTATGGACGAATTTTGAGGATATAGGATGACATCTCCAATAACCAAATCTACTCCAATAGATGATGATGATGATGACTCTTTTGGAACTTCTCTTTCTTCAACTTGTAGATCATTCTCCTTTGTCTCCATATCTTCATTGTCACAGACATCCTTGGGTAGAATTCCATCTTCAATGGTCAACTCAACATGATCTGTAGCTTCTTTAATAAGTGACTGTTTTGGACCCTCCTTTAAATTTATCTCATCATGATCAAAGTCCATACGCATGTTGGTGATAGGCAACACCTTCTCTTCATCTTCTATTTTAAGTTCTTGTTCTTCTTGAGATGAAATCAAAGCTTGTGAATCCTCTTCACAAGTGACTATAGTAAGCCCATCAACAAGAACTTCTTCTTTCTTTTCCATGTCCTCTTTGACTTCCTCTTCTACTCTTGCTTGAAACTCTTTCTCCTTCTTCAAATTCTGTTGCATTTGAAGTTGATCCTCATATATTTCTTTGGGAGATAATGGCTTCAATACAAACTTCAGACCTCTATGCGACAACTTGTACTTCTTGGTGACTCTATCTTGTTGTCCATTTCGATCAAACTGCCATGGTCTTCCAAGCAAAACATGAGCCTCTTCCATTGGCACCACATCACAAAGGACTTCATCTTTATATCTTCCAATCTCAAACTTCAATATGGCTTGCTTGGTGACCTCAATTGATCCATCTTCATTAAGCCATTGAAGAGTATAAGGTTTCGGATGTTGCAATGTGTTTAACCCCAATTTCTTCACCGAATATTCACTCACCAGATTAGTGCAACTCTCTCCATCAATGAAAATCGATAGTAGCTTACCATCCACTAAGCATCTCGTTTGAAATTTATTCTCCCTTTGCTCGAGATCTTGCTTTGGATTTGGACTCCCTATCGTCAAATGAGCTTCAGGTTGGATTATTGTTGCTGCCGCATTATTCCCCTTTAACCCTTGAAGAATAATTTCTGTCGTCTTGAGCATCTGCTTCATCATCTCCGTGAATCGTTGATTTTGCTCCATTGTTGCCTTTCAAGAGTTTCAAAAAATCTTCTTTTCTCCACTGTGAACCAGTA